GTTCATTGTCAAACTCCAAAATCAGATTATTTTTCATTCTTAAAAAATGCCATTATTTTATTTGAAATAAATAATAATTTTATTGACAATAAAATAAAATGATTTTTGAGAGTAAATAAAGAAAAATGTATACACTGTAATCATGAAACAAAACTATATATTTGTGCTAGACAAGTGTGAAATTACTGTGGATAAAAAAATTATACTCTGAACCCCATGTGGATTTACACAAACTGGGAAAGTCAAAAAGTGTTACTTTGTGCCCCGCTCTCCCCTAATCTCAACGCCGACAGGTATGTTTAATCACAACTCGTGGCTGTGGTAAATGTGTGCAATATTAAACGACACTGTGACACACTGGACAGCTTCGCATGGAGAAAGTAAATGAGCGAGGAGTGTGCGATATTTATTGTGTATTAATATCCTAACTGTTTTAATGATGTGCGAGTTGACATTTTGTAACTTTGCAAAAAAACAAACAAACACATCATGAGAGTTTTTCAGTGCCGGATGAAGGCTATCAGTTTACAATATAATTCAATATATGGGGGCAAAAAAAAATGCCCTGTAAGAAATGTAGTTTTTAATATTTATGTTGTGATAGTTAAGTAATGTCTAACTATATCAAGAGTGTTGCATTCCCGAATGTCAGCGCGATCGCAAATGAATAGATTTTATATAACAGCTCAACAAACAAGATGCTAGTATTAAGTGTGTTATATTAGTCACAATGCTGTCTGTTTATCTCTGTTTTGGCAAGAAAAAGTTTTTAACAAAGCCGAAGTAAGACCAATTGTGTGTCTCCGAGGCAGCACTGTGTATTTTGTTACTGAATTAATCTGTGTTTTTGAACAAATTATTTGAGTCAATGATTCAGTGGCCCATTCATAAAGATAATCACAAGCTTAGGTTCTAAACGAATCAGCCGTTTTGAATGAATGAGTCAATGGATCAATCATTAAGACGGAGACTTGCTGCCACCTACTGGCGGCTTTAGTGTCATATTTATTTATCCATGACCGGCTTAAAACCAACCAAGGTGCTATCTCAAAAACACACTCAACTATCTCTATCACTATCAAAAAAAAAAAAGAAGACATTTTGTCAATATTGCACACCCCTAAAATAACCAAGCATCTAGTTGTCCTAGATTTTTTTTTATTTATTATATTGTAGTTTGTAGTTTCAATGCATAGTGAGAGCAGCTGAGAAGATCGTTGGTGCCTCTCTCCCCTCCCTCCAGGAAATTTACATCACCCGTCTCACCCGCAAAGCCCTCTGCATTGCAGGTGATCCCACCCACCCGACACACAGCTTCTTTAGTCTTTAGTGCTGCCATCAGGGAGGAGACTACGGAGTCTCCAGGCCAGGACCAGCAGACTGAAGGACAGCTTCATCCATCAGGCTGTCAGGAAGCTGAACTCCCTCCCGACCTTGCCCCCCCTCCCCTCTTTTGCCCCACGCACCACTGAACTCTGACCCTCTGACGGACTCTCCCACTTCCGCCTCCCTAATACACACACACACTGTCACTTTAATCAGTCTGAATAAGCTCTTTTGCACTACAAAATCATTATATCTGCACTATTGTTTACTTCACTGGTTTGCACTCTATCTGCCATGTGCCTTCTGCTGCTTAATATATATTTTTAAATATTTTACATTTTACCTTATTTGTATATTTGTATAGTTGTATTTTTATATTTAATCTGTATCGATCTGTATTTATGTTCTACTGTTAGTGTTAGCTGTATGCACCAAGGGTCTGAGAGTAACGCAATTTCAGTTCTCTGTGTGTATGTGCTGTACATGTGGAAGAATTGACAATAAAGCAGACTTGACTTGATTTTGTATGGTTAATATTAATGTAATTGTGAGCAAACTAGGGTTTAACAAAAGGTAATTCGGCCCGCACAAGGGGAGATTTGCCCTCAACCTTAAATGAGTTTGACACCCCTGATATATACTGTATATGTACATACTGGATATTTACAGGTATCTTGCATTCAGATTATTTCATGTTTTTGTTTTACAGCCTACAGTTGCTAAAATAATTAGCATTTTTCTGGTTCTGTTTCCTGTCCTTTCCCGTCTTGTTCTCAGGTGTATGCTTGGGGATACAACAACTCTGGGCAGGTGGGCTCTGGATCCACGGCCAACCAGCCCTCCCCACGCAGGGTCAGCAGCTGCCTGCAGAATAAGGTGGTGGTCAACATCGCCTGTGGACAGCTCTGCTCTATGGCCGTCCTGGACAATGGAGAGGTGAGTTTAAATTAACAACAAGAGTTTAATCAAGAACTACAGATGACAATCAAATAAAAAAATAATCAAATGATTAAATATATGTGATGTTTTCACAAGTAATTACATGTATTACTTGCTGGATTGGCCACCAAATAAATAAAATAAAATTCTTTATTACAGAATGTATGCATGTGTCAGGGGCATGATTAATTGTGAGATTTATTGTGTGTGTTTTAAATAATTATTTGCACTAAAATAATGTGTTTAAAAACATCAGGAACGGTTATTAATGTTAATAACATGAGATTGAGCATACTGTCTGTCGGGATATGATATTTAGTTCTGTTACTCACAGTTTTAAGATGCGGCATTGATTGTAACTGTCTCAATTGTCAGCAGAGTTTTGTTGTGCCTTAGTGTCTTCAACACTCCTCAGAGATACTTTCTCACACCTAATGTTCACAGTGTTTCCTTTCAGGAAGTTTAATCATGTTTAAAAAAAAAAAAGAAAAAAAAAGTGAAGTGACATGTGGCCAAGTATGGTGACACATACTCGGAATTATTGCTCTGCATTTATCCCATCCAAAGTGCACACACACAGCAGTGAACACACACACACAGTGAACACACCCCCGGAGCAGTGGGCAGCCATTTTTTGTTACGGCACCCGGGTAGCAGTTGGGGGTTCGGTGCTCAAGGGCACCTCAGTCGTGGTATTGAAGGTGGGAGAGGTACATTCACTCCCCCCACCTACAATCCCTGCTGGTACGAGACTCGAACCCGCAACCTTTGGGTTACCAGTCCGACTCTCTAACCATTAGGCCACGACTTCCCACAAAGTTTTTTATTTATTTTTTGTAATTATTGTTGCTGTAATCAGCACTTGGTTTATCTCAAGGCTCTGTGTTGACAGACATACGGCTGGGGTTATAACTGCAATGGGCAGCTTGGTTTGGGCAACAATGGCAACCAGCAAACCCCCTGCCGGATCGCCGCCTTACAGGGAATCAACATCGTACAGGTGACAAACAAAGACTTCTGAGTATTAATCAGTAGGATATGTTGGTCTTCTGAAATGAGGTGGCTCATTTGCTTGTTATGTGCTTTTGTCAGTTTTTATTAGTTTTTTTTGTAAATGTCTGTTTAACTTTAATATTTAAATTTTAGTTTAATTAATTTTAGTAATTCAACTTTAACTTTATTTCAATTAGTTGCCAAAGCAACATTGCTTATTTTAATTTACGTTTTTAAGTTTCTTTAAGTTATAAAAATCTAATATTTATATTTTCAGTTATTTCGGCCTTATTTCAGATGATGAAAAAAATATTTGAGTTAACATAAATTGTTTATTATTTTATAATAATGACAGATTTATACATTATTTTATATACAGTGGGTATAGAAAAGTATCACCCCCTCTTTAAAATAATCACATTTTGTTGCTTTGCAGCCTGAAATGAAGACAGACACAGTTTTTGTTATATCCAGCTGTATTTACTCAGTGCAACTTATAACAACCAAGTGAAAGATATAACACCAACATGTCAGAAAAAAGTTAAAACAGAATCACTGATTTGATTGTGATTCACCCCTTGTGAATATTTTGTTGAACCACCTTTTGCTTTAATTACAGCCTTTAGTCTGTTGGGATATGTCTCTACTAACTTTGCACATCTAGACTTTGCAATATTTGCCCACTCTTCTTTGCAGAACTGCTCAAGGTTTTGACAGAGATCTTTTAGCAGTGTCTTGCCACTCATAGTTGATTGATTGCTTCAGTTGCACTACCAAGGACGGAAATGCTCCAGGAAAGCTCTTTTCATGCTGAGCTGATTCAAATGACCACAGCTGATCACAGTTGAAAGTCAAATGGCTTTGTGTGTTTTTGAGAAGGTGATTGGCTAAACTTGATTGAGTTTACAAGTCATTTTTTGGAGTGGGGTGATCCTTTTTGCAACGGCGTGATTCTGTTTTTTTTCTCTGATGTGTTGGTGTTATATCTTTCACTTAGATGTTATAAGTTGCACTGAGTAAATACAGCTGGATAAAACAAAAACTGTCTTCATTTCAGGCTGCAAAGCAACAAAATGTGATCATATTTAAGGGGGGTGATTATTTTCTATACCCACTGTATGTTTATTGTTCTGTCAACTTTTATAATTTATCGATCAGGCACCCCTAGTATTAAGACACATTATTTGCTGTCTATGATCATTTATTTAGTCATTTAGCAGAAGCTTTTATCCAAAGCAACTTACAAATGAGGACAATAAAAGCAGTCAAAACTAACAAAAGTGCAACAATATATAAGTGCAAATGACAAGTCTCGGTTAGCCTAACGCAGTACACGTATCAAGGTGTGTGTATATATATGTGTGTGTATATATATATATATATATACACACACACGCAAAGAAAAACAAGTAGATAGAATAGAAAAAATAGAAAGCTAGTGTTTTTTTTATTTTATTTTTTTTATAAAAAAATAAATATAAAGTAGAATTAAAATAGAATAGAAAGTGTTAGAGGGTCAAATAAAGGGTTTTAAATGAAGCAATACAATTGTTGAGGGTCATTTAATAATATTTAGACAAAAAAAAAGAATTGAGTAATATTTATAAAAACCAATAAATAAATAAACAATAAAGGATTGATTATATGCTATGAATGTTCTTAATCATTGTTAAAAAAAAATTGTATAGACCAATTTCAGTGTTTGCAAACAGTGATGGTGTTTTTTTTTTGTGGGTGGAGCATATCTGGTGGCAGAAAATGCCAGTTTTAACGTAGCCGTCTATGCAAGCCATGGAATAAAAGAATCAAAAAGGTAATTGAGTTTATATTTCTAAATTCTGACTTTTTTTTCTTGCAATTACAAGATTATATCACAATTCTGGTAAGAAAACTCGTCATTTTCTCTTTTTCCCTCGTTTCAGAATCATGAGTTATAATCCCACACTTCTGGCTTTTTTTCCTCCGAATTGACAAACTCACAATTGTTGAGTTGAATCAAGTCATAAAGTCCGAACTAGGAGGTATAAAAAAAAAAGAAAAGCAAGAAAAAAAGTCTGAATTGCGAGGTAAAATAGGTAAATGTTATGTAAAATGTTATAGGTTGAAATAGTATTTCATGCTTTAACTGTGGGGCTAATACAATATGTCCCCTATGTGTTTATTATATAGACCTATTGTTTAAATCAAATTTATGCTTTAAAAGTACGGGGAATCATAGCGGATTTCATCCATAGTTTGTCTGTTTAAACGTCTGCGTTTAGCTTCAAATGGCGTCTTTGATTACAGTATTATATAAAAATTATTTGCATTCCTATTCTGACATTCAAAGGCACAACAATACATTTTTCTCTTATTCCATGAGTTTTACCCGTTTCCCTCCACTTGTTACCAGTGTTTTTCTGCCACCACAATGTGCGCGCAGCTGCAAGTAACTGTGACGACTACTACAAATTGGTCTATATGGTAATATCAGTGTCCTAAAACCTGCTGAAACAGCTTGTGGCTGCCCTGTTAAAACCTCATAAGTAGCTAAATACTACTCACATTTATCTCAATTACCCCGCATTATTGAAAACATCCAGTTGGAGAATAAATGAATCATAGATGACAGATATGCCGCAAATAACGTTTTTCTATCAGCCCTTAACTGTCGTTTTTACAGGTGGCATGTGGATACGCACACACACTGGCTCTTACAGACGAAGGGTTTATTTACTCTTGGGGTGCAAACTCATATGGGCAGCTGGGTACTGGCAACAAAAGCAACCAGGCTGTGCCCACCCTCATCAATATGGAAAAGGAGAGGTAAGATTCAAATCGTAGCCTCCCACCTGACTGAATTGATATGGAGGAAAATAATTTGTCATCTCACCTGATTTTCTGTGCATTTGAATACATGTGGGTGACATTTTGGACATACTGGAATTCATACCTTTAGTTTATTTCAAGTAAAGTATGTCTACAGAAATCACTTCACCAGAAACTCAATTGTAGGAAACTGAGAGAACTCTTCACAGACAGTTGGGATTAGAAAGAAATATTTTTGTTTAGTTGTAACCATTTGAACTCGGGTTAAAACACTAAAGATAGTCTATATTGGCTTATCTATAACTTTTTAAGACTTGGAACAGAACGGCCCACAGTTTTTCAATGCCATTTGTAAATACTAACATTTACATTTTTAAATTTATCAGAAATTATATATATGAAAAAAAAATAATTATATAACTATATACTGTATAATCTAGGCCTAGACCATAAGCCAGTAACTTCATGTAGATTATAGATTCCTCAGGCCATAAGTAAGTAACTTTTATATAGATTGTGGTTTTGCTCTTCTTCAGACCACTGTTGGTGGGTTCTCACAAATGCTGACCCAGGAGCCTCACTGTTTCAGAGATGCTCTAACACAGCTGTCTGGCCACAACAGTTTGGCTCTTGTCAAAGTCACTCAGATCTTTATTCCCACCCATTTCTCCTGCACTAACACATTGACTACTGGAATGGATTTTTCATTTACCATATAAATTACCCAGACCTTCAAGTGATCTTGTCAGGAGATGATTAACAATATTCACTTAATGTGTGTTCATAATGTTTTGGCTCATCAGAGTTTGTGTGTGAGAACATAGATGCAGCAGAATGTTAAACCAAAACGTAATTGAACATGTTTAGATTCATCTAAAATAGTTATTCTGTAAATAAACCTTTATTTTTTTCAATTCTGTAGACTGTAGTTTCTGTAGTTCTTTCCAGTACTAAAGATTGTTTTTTTTTTTATATATATATATGTTTCATCATAAACAATGGATTACTGTATGTGGTGGGTTGTTTACTGTCATTTCCTGCCAGTTTTGCTGTTTATCAATCAAAAACGGAATTTATATTTTATATTGAACATATAAAAAAGCTTTAACATGTTTGATCCTATAACAACAGCATCTGTGCCACTCATTTGTCTCCTGCAGAATGGTGGAGGTTGCTGCGTGTCACACCAGTCACACATCAGTGGCGAAAACACAGAGTGGTCAGGTGCTGATGTGGGGTCAGTGTCGGGGTCAGGCTGTGGCCTACCCTCACCTCACACACTTCACCAGCACTGATGATGTTTTCGCCTGCTTCGCCACACCAGCAGTCACCTGGCATCTCCTGTCTGTTGGTAAGAGCATTATTCTGGCTACTTTTTCAGCAGCCTTGGTTTCTGAAGTATATCTTCAACTGACTTTGAGATTAGTCGGTTAAAAAAATATATTAAAAAAACCCAACAAGACTTCATAGCCACTGAATTGAAATGAGGGAGTGAATTAGTAAAACGGGCTATGATTTACTGGAAAAAAGGAGAAGGGTATAACCGAAGCCTGGAGATCTCCAAATGGGGGTGGAAACTCCAAAACGGGGTGGGAGCTCGGAAGACAGGGTGTGGCTTTCTCCCACTGACAGACCGATACATGACATGCATGCATGATTTGATTTCCCAAACCAGTTCAACGCAAACTCCTCCCCGCTGATTCTAAAGATTTCATTGGTCATGTCATTCACAGTCCTGATTTCCTAGACAATGATACAACCAATACAAACCCCTAACCCTACCCTACACCCTAACCTTAACCATTGAAACTGGCTGCTGGGCGAGGTTTGCTGAATTGCACGGGGAAGCTGGGGCTTCGGATGTCCGTAACTCCCCAACCGAACCTTGCTTGACAATAGGACCTTTTTAGTTACACCCAGCATCAACTCCCCCTTCCTACCTTGCAAAGCTTGAGCCCCGGGGCCCCACTATTACATAGAATAAAAGTGATACAGTTAAACGCACCCATGCAATGCGCTGGAACGGCTCATGGAATAGATTGCGGGGGATTCCCGCTTATTAGATGGGGAAGCAAGGTTGGTTGCATTTTTAAAAGCATATTTATTTTGAAGCATATTGTATAACTTTTTAAGCTATATATATATATATATATACAGTGGGTACGGAAAGTATTCAGACCCCCTTAAATTTTTCACTCTTTGTTATATTGCAGCCATTTGCTAAAATCATTTAAGTTAATTTTTTTTCCTCATTAATGTACACACAGCACACCATATTGACAGAAAAACACAGAATTGTTGACATTTTTGCAGATTTATTAAAAAAGAAAAACTGAAATATCACATGGTCCTAAGTATTCAGACCCTTTGCTCAGTATTTAGTAGAAGCACCCTTTTGATCGAATACAGCCATGAGTCTTTTTGGGAAAGAGGCAACAAGTTTTTCACACCTGGATTTGTATATATATATTATTATTATTATTGCTTTGAGAAGTATGTTTTATTATTAGTGTTTATATATCTCTGCCATAATTTCTTCAAATAATGAAAGTGAAAGTGACGTGACATGTGGCCAAGTATGGTGACCCATACTCTGATTTAGTGCTCTGCATTTTTCCCATCCAAAGTGCACACACACAGCAGTGAACACACACACACCGTGAAAACATACCCGGAGCAGTGGGCAGCCTTTTTTTTATATATATATGCTGCGGTGCCCAGGGAGCAGTTGGGGGTTCGGGTGCCTTGCTCAAGGGCACCTCAGTCGTGGTATTGAAGGTGGGAGAGAGCGCTGTACATTCACTCCCCCCACCTACAATCCCTGCCAGTATGAGACTCAAACCCGCAACCTTTGGGTTACAAGTCCGACTCTCTAACCATTAGGCCACGACTTCCCCATAATATTCTCATAATATTATTATTGAGAAGTACATTTTAATATTGTGATGTGACTCGTGTCCTCATATATTGAGATAGCAGACAATGAAAACACTGCGAGCATCACGTGTGTTTGAGTTTGTGTAGCAGACCAAACTATGCCATTCATTCAGACAGACACAGAACATGCAGAATTATTAGCGACATGCACTGACTGGCTGTTGTCACGTTTATTTCTAGGCAAGGCAAGTTTATTTATATAGCACATTTCGTACACAATGGTAATTCAAAGTGCTTTACATAAAAGAAAGTAAAATAATCACACAAATAAAACAAGGAAGTTAAAAACTTTGAAAATGATTTAAAAATGTATTTAAAATGAATTTAAAGGTCCCCTGAAGTGCCTTGAAACACGCAGCGTTATTCTATGTGGTGACGTAATTTCAACTGAAACAGGAAGACAGGGTGGGACATATCGAGCAGCCCCGCCCCCTTTTTAAATTAGCCAATAGTGTTTTGTTTATATCTGCAGGGGTCAGAGCCGTTGAGCTCGGTAAAGCTGCATTTGACAGCCACAGTCTAATAGATTACCCCCTAGATTCAATATGAAACTCTTAGTAAAACAAAATAGTGATCATAATCATGCTGAGGCTGTGTAGTTTTAAAAGTGTTTAATATATGCCGACTCGCATATGATCCACTCCGTGCGATCGCTTCTCTGGACCGGAGCCAAAGTCTGGATCAGACTGTGCGCGCTGCCGCGGTTCACGTGACACAACGTGAAACCAGCACCTCATTTGCCCCAATCAAAAGCATATTTACACTGTCTGAATCATTCCCTATCGCCTACATTGTACACTACGTACCATTCACCATACAAGAAATACTACACTGTGAACAAAGCGACCTATCTCAGCCACAGCTTCAGCATCTATTTATAGTGTAGGGGGCAGGCGCTTCGGCTTCTAGAGAGCATTTGATTGGTCAGAAGATTTGATGAGAAGATGAAGTACGATGTGACGTCAAAAAAATCGTTGCGCCGTTTTGGTGGAAGTGACAAACTAAAAGCTTTGAATGCTTATATCTTCTAAATGCAAATTTTGTCACTGTTTTGGAGCACACTGCCTTATAGATAACCTTAAGACTAACATATTGATACTAACACCCAAAAAA